GTATATAAGTTTGAATTGATATTATATAGTTATAATAATTAATTTAAAACAGCTTGGTATAATTATATATTATAAACTATCTTAACTCTCCAATTGTCAGTCTTCAAATCACAAACAACATGGTAATTCCTTATCTTCTATTGAATATTAACGGTTTTGACGCCTATTTACTATGCATTAGTCACTATAAATTAGAAACTATTGTTCTGATATGAATGTATATTACATTACAATTTTTAGAATAATATATTTTACAAAATGGCTATATTGAAAATTTTAATAAGCGGAAAAATAATAAGTAATTTTTTTTCAGTGATTAAGTGATAAAAAACGAAAATAAAAATTAAATTTTTCTCGACCATATGTAGTCTCCCTTGCACAAAACCCGATTGACAAAAAATGAATATTCTTCACAGAGTTATTATCCTAAGGATAATATTGTAGAGTGTAGGACACCCAGTATAGAATTATCTAAATACTAATATAAATTATGTATTTATTATGTTTAAAATTTATAATAAAAATTTAAATAATTTTACCTGTAGTTCAAATGTAGATTAGATGATTTTGTATCTGAGGACTGTAATTTTAGATTCTGAGTGGAGCGAAGAATGTATCGGATTTTTTTCTGTGGACAACTATTCCACCAAAAATTTTACTGCAATTTTCAATTGTAGAACTTTCTTTGAGAGAAAATCTATCTAGGGTGGTATTTTATGTAGGTAATTCTTTGATTTTCCATGAATTTTCCCAATTAATGGAAAAAATTTACGAAATGTAAGTGTTAGTAAAAACAAATTATGGAGTTAATTATTTTTTCCAGTGAATAACTTTTCTACCAACAATTTTTCTCCGAATAACAATGATAACACTTTTTTCGATGGTGAATCTGACCGGGGTGATAGTTTAAAGAGAGATATGTTTTAATTTGTTCAGCTGTTTTCATAGTAAATGAGAAAAACTGGGAAAAAACGGGAAATATTTACAATATTAAACAAATATTATTTAAGAAAATATTTTATGCATATTTAATTATTTTACTATAATATGACTTATATATTCTTGAAAAAACAAAAACATTAATCGAATTCCACTCAGAATCCTTTGTTTTTAGTAATGGTTTATCGTTGCGTACATATACACATTCAATTTCTCCTCTACCTTTCCTACTCTTCACCTACAACATTGGCCTACCACTAGCGAAGTATGTGGGTCTTTTTAGAAATGTTTATTATTCATTTATGCAAAATAAAAATACTAGAAAACAAGATACTATTATATCACTTTGGTCGATGACTGTGATAATATTATTGTCTTCAGCGTCATTCAGTGTACATTTTTTAAAAATGTAAATCTGTCACCTGCAGTTGACAGGAAACAGGCCACAAAGTTTCCTCTTTTGTCAACAATGTTTATATGGTTAGTATAGGAAATCTAGTAATCTAGTTTATATATATGCGATGAATGTACAACGGTCTTGATTATGAATGCTTGATAATAAAAACTTAATTTTTAAATGATAACAATTTTTCATCAAAATATTTTTGTATTAAGTCTTATATTAAAATTCGTATGCCGTGCTGTCACTAAATTGATTTTACAAGAATTGAATAATCTATATTCTATCATTATTTATAATTACCATAAGGTATATGGTAGATTCGGCCGGTTACCCACGTATCGACAATTTTTTATAAGCTATACGCCATAGATAAAATTAGCGTATTGCGTATATGCTGTATATTATCATATACTTAATTAATTAATAATAAAATATATATAATAATATTATATATATATATAATTATATATAATAAATAATAAAACATATACTTAATCATATACTGAATTTGCACCTAAAAATATTAAAAGGAGCAGATTATTTATTTGAAAAAATGTCTGCTAAAAATATGTATACTATTACAAATAGTTTTACTAAAGTGCATTATATAATATAAAAAAAAAAGGCTTTGGAGAGTCTATCCCCTTCACCCCTTCCACCACATAACATACCCAAAACTATGCTACTATATTCAGTCAGAAATACTATCTATGACCATTGTTACGGGCTATGAAGGACAAATTCCGTAACACCATTTATGTCTGAGTTATAACAATTAAATATTAAAAGTGTAATATTTGAGAAGAGTATAAAATGCTGTATCAATTTTTGTATAATAACTAAATTGAAATCAAAAGTTGATACCTATGTGTAAAGGAATTTAGATGTATGGAACGAGGGTAAAGTATTAAAAATGTTGAAGATAATGTTAAACGATTCTATGACTGAAAAATATTAAAAACCATTTTAATCTTATATCTACTATATAGATAATCGCTGGGCCATGATAAAAATACACTCTGTATGAAATTTTAATAATATTCAACTAATTGACATGCGTAAATGTTTTTCAGATGGCTACCTCTTCATCTATTTAATTATCGTCACTGCTGTCATATGTTAAAGCTCTTCGGATAGTCTGGTATAAGTCCATTCACGGTAAAATTGGCAAGTTAATTTTCGTGTTTATCTATTAAAAAAAAAAAAAACCATCAAGTTTAATTTGTAAGTAGTTGGAATATTTCCATCACCTTTCTCTAAAGTATTTAACCATTATGGAAGTCAATTATTCTGATACTAATTTTGTTATTTGTATAATACAACGTGTAAATAATATTGCTCATAATATAGTTATTAGTTATTAGTTTATTTTTCATCTGTATACAATTTTATGCATTTGCAGCACCCTGTGTTTTCAGAAATTTTTAATTTGACCCTAAATCAAAACAAAACCGTATTAGTGTTAATTGTACTACCCAAGACAGCCAGTGGTGGCTCGCCATGTTCAAATTGTGTGGTGTGGTAAGTATATAGGAGTGTAATTTGAATAATTTTAGATTTTAAACTAAATTTCTATAAGATTAATTATTAAAAATAATAAACTCAATTCGCGATAAATAATAATATTTGTTCACAATAAATAATATTTAGAGCAGAAATGTATGCTCACACGAGGTCATGTATCATTATGTTTTGTCACCCCTACTCGGTGTCCAATCGTATTTACGTATGCTGGTCTTTTAGCTCAGTGGTTTTTAACCTTTTAAGAAATCGCGATACCCTAATTTTTTTTTTCATTTATGACGACCCCTTCAAAAATCGTTTAATTGAAGTTGAATAATATGATGTACAGTATATATGTAACTTATGGTTTTTGGCGACCCAATAACTATCACTTGTGACCTCCAGATTGAAAACCACTGTTCTAGCGTACCAATTGATGCGAGTATACCTGTATCGTTTAATTTCATTTCTTTTAGACCTTATATTATATTTATATAATATATATAATATATATAATATATAATTAAATAGTGCGCGGACTAAAAGTTCTCTAGCGTATTATACATTTTTTTCACAATATCGAAAAATAACTCCCTTTAAGTACCTCCCTACACCGATTTCCTTTCAGAATAGGTGCTACACCTAAAAATCGGAGCAAGTATTTTGGTAGAAAAGTTGTCCACAAAAAAAATAAAAAATAAACTTTTTTTTAAAACCATAAGTTTCTTCGCTACACACAGAATCTAAATATATTTAAATTATATACTCATATAAGTGCCACGGACTATAATAGAATATGCTGGTATCGATGATATTAGTGCAATCAAATTTTCCTACAAGAGACCAAGAGTGTATCCAAGATTTTTTGAGATGAGAAGAGGCTGATTAATTAAATATCTCATGACTAGAGTTAAAAAAAATATAAATATAAAAAAAAAACTACCAAGAACAATTATATAAGATATCATGAAATTTTAGGGAGAAGACACCAGCCCCTGGAACAGCTTTCTGGATACACCATTGCATGAGACGAGTACGAGGATCACAATGTAAATCAACGATTTTTAGTGTCATCTATAATATGTAATGATGCTATTGGATTCTGATAATATTGTTGTTAAAAATGTGACCACAAATTAAACCACCGGTCATAAGCACTAAAACTAGTCGGGTCGCAATATTGTAGTAACAAAGGAAACATTTTCCATCCGAAGTCTCCCCAATTTCCCACTCATCTGGTCCATAACATTCTATCTTAGTCCGTGATAATATGTACTCTGTAATTTATTATATTATTTATAATTTTTTTATATGTAGTAATAAGAATGGACTCTTTTTGACCGAGATAAGAACTCGAGCACTGTTTACATTGTGTGTAATTTATTTATCGTTCTTACTTGTATTTGCGATGGACGTAGTTCAAAATCACCTAAAAATTTAGTTTTTGTCAATAACTGAAGTACAGTTTCTTTGATACACGCAGCTTTTCATAACCTATATCCAATTATTTTATTTTAATATAGGTACCGACCTTATTATCTTGATGTATTACTTGTCCACATAGGTTTTGTTTGTTCAAAACCAACATACCTTACCTATTTGAATAAAACCAGTGACATAAATTAAATAACACTGTATAAGTACACTTGCAGTACTTGTAAATCTACATTTAATACACTTTACGTATTTATATAAAAGGTATAGGTATTATGTAAAATAAATACAACGACAATTTTTGGGTCATGTGATTGGTAAAGTTTATTATTATGACGGTAACTGTATTATTAAATAACTTAAAATAAATTGATTATTATAACCGCCAAACATAGCGTAAGTCAAAAAACAGCGAACAACAAAATTAAAATCACTTAAATTTAACAGATTCCTCATTAACATATTACAAACGTTAACAATTTCAACATCTCCTCACACCAATCCTAATGATTACACCATTGCCTCCTAAATTGGTTTATAAATATAACGTAACATAATAATAAATGCAGTGTGAATTAAACAAACAGAATAATGAATATCATTAATAATTATTGATATATATTATATTATATTATTGAAAACATCATTATTTTAATATATTAAATATTATTTAAAAAGCATGTATGGTTTTTAATATTTTACAATATTGTGTCAAACGTGTATTAGGTTAAAGTAGATATTTTTTTGAAAAATTGTATTAGATTATTGTTTTATTATTCGTAAAGCGGTACGGTTAGGTTTAAGTAATAAATTGGTATTGGTGTTTATTGGTTGGGGGATAGGATGAGGATAACTATAATACTTTATTTGTCGAATTAACGCTGACGCATTCGTCGGACCCTACGCGGTATACATTCCATGATTTGTCTGAAGAACTGTCTTAAAACGTTAACAAAATAACAATTTAATTTTTCGTCTTCTATTTCAACTACATCGGGTACAACTTCTTCTTCTATTTCGTCTTCTACTTCTTCTTCTACTTGTTTTTTTCTTGAGATAATGTCTTTACTTACACGTATAAACATTTTCTCAGGGTTCCTTTCAAGAACAATAGAGATATTTACTTCGTCGTTTGTTTCTTTCTCCATCTCCGAAATAATTTCTTTTGAGTTAGACATCTTAATATTTCTGTTTCATACCTGAAACATGGTGTTACAGAAAATTATAATCAATCGTAGCGCAGTAATAGTTTTGTATCGTATTGTCGTACATTGGCCGACAATGTATACCAAGAAACAGCAATAGTAGGTTTCAAAAAAAAGTAGAAAAAAGAAGGGGGACAATACGAAAACCTATATATCGCGCTCATTCCTAATCGTGTAGGTAGATATATAAGTAAACACGGGATTTTATATTGTATTAGCTCGGTGGTTTTCTAAAAATGTACAATATTTACGAACGACATTGATAACAAAATATGTTATCATAATCTCTTTTCAAACAAATTAAAAAAAATCCATCCTTTACAATTTTTTTCCCGTCATATTTATATAATACAAATATATATATATATAGTACAATATATTTTATGGTACGAATTATTTAAATAAGTAGTAATGTGTAGACATTGAGATACGACGTTTTTGTGGGAACAATTGTTTAATAAATTTAAGTTTTAAAATTGTAATTAATTGTTTAATTATTTTATTTAATTTAATTAGGTGCTTCTATTTTAATTTTGAATAACCCTTAGGTAACGGGAAAAATTATTAAAAAAAAAAAAAATGATAAAAACGTATCTATATCAAAATTAACGTGTCCTGTTGAATTAACGGAGTAAAGAGCGCAATTTTTTTAATAACAAAAGGAAACAATATTATTTATAAAATCATGTATAAATTCTATTCACATGGACATTTTTGTCCTTTCGCATAACAATATCACGCAATAGTCATTTGGTTATTTTTTAAATTTCATTATTTCCAATATTTACGCACAATAAAATGCCCACGTTCTAAAACCATTGTTTAAACGATACCATAACCTACGAAATTCATTTCGAAATAATTTTATAATTTTTTTTTTTTTATATAATTATTTATCATCGTGAAAAGTGTAATTTGGTCGTCAGGTCGACGGGTCCCGTAGATATCGTGATCATTCCGGATAAAAACGCGCATTATTTTTTACTATCGTTAAAACGCGTTTCAATTCATTTTTATTAATACGTTATACCTACAGGTAAAAAAAAAAAAAAATACAAAACGTTTTGCTCACCTCTTAAAATTGTAACGATGGACTTTGTATGAATGGTACAGTACAATCGACGTCTGAAATGGCTGGACATGACACAGTTTTCATACTAACATCTGCGACGGTCGGGCGGAGCTGTTAGACTGACGTAAAAGCACGTAAAGCCGCACGGAAAATTTGCTTTCCTTTCGTGAATGCAATCGACTCGTATTGTTCATGCGCGGTATAACGGCCTTTGTTGACGCCCCTGTAGTAGGTATTCACACGCCCTCTACGTGCGGCAACGAGTACGTGGCGAAACCTATACAAAACTAAAGTTAATAATGAATTTTATCTTTCTATGACCTTACGTCGTGTAAACATAGTGAACGAAAGTTATAGCGCAACACCGAAAAAATGCATAATGTCCCACTAAGATATACGCATTGCAATATCTCGAATAATATTTATTTCTTTTCTAATTTTTTTTTTTTTTGAAAATTTAAGAAACAAGTAGCTTTAAAATATATCACATTAAAAATTACATAAATTGATAGCATATTAGTTTAAATACATTTTGTTGTTGATAGTTTTTATTCCCCATTGAAAAGATATTCTACTTATAAGTTTAGGTAGGAGAAGAGTAGTGAAGCATTTGTTTAATTAATACGGCGTTTAGTGTTTCATTTACTCTCTTATTCCTACCCAAAATATACGGCAAACTAAAAAGTGGAATAACTCGCTAACAGGTTAACGGAAATTAAAAATGTATTTAAACTACATGAGTGACTCTTTTGAATGTAGGTAGTAGAGAAGGTGGGATACATAAAGCTATTTAATTTATACCTGTAACTAACGATAAACCATTGATAAAGAAAAACGATTCGGAGGAAAGTTCGGTTTCACATGTTTTTAAACGCCGTAATATTTATGATTTTCGTCATTATTCCATTTTAAAACTTTTATAAAAAAAAATATTCTATAAAACAAATTATTTTTATGACCACTAAGTATGACTTACAATGAATCTCCTATCAAATTTTCAAGCATTTCTGTAAAGTATTAATTGTTGTTGCATCATGATCAAGATATGTGTAAAATAAATAAAAAAAAAACACATTTATATCAGATCACAGTTGCGTAAGCACTAGAATTTTAGTGAACGCTGTTTGATCGAAAAAATGACGATTGCGTTGAAACGCATACACAGAAAACGGACAAACATTGTGTCTAGACGCAGCGTCCAGATGCACACAAATTCTCCGTTTGGACGCTGCAGGGAAAATGTACATCAAAAACGAAAAACGAACATTTAAAATAGTGATGCGTAAAGATGTCCTATGTATACACATGAAAAATATCGAAAAAAAATACGTTTTCTTCAACCGATGATGAAATATTATTTGGATTTTATTAATTGAATAGTATGTCAAGTCAAAATTTGATTTTAAAACTTATAGAAAAAAATAAAAATATACTACATTGAACTAAATTTTTTTTTTGATCACTAAGTACGAGTTATAATTAACCTCTTGTTAACTTGTCATGCATTTCTGTTAAGTCTAAGAATTTTCTCTACAAAGTACCTACAAATACAAATTACGTGAAAAACTCGCAAACATAAAATGCCAATGAATAAACTAAAAATTGCCAAAATTAATTGAATACGTTTGAATTTACAACGTTTAGAAAAGAATAATAAACTCTTTTGTCAATATTTCAAGACCCTGTACATATTTTTTTATAAATTATAGCTAGTAGAATTTAAAATAATACAACTATTATATTCGTAAATTTCTCCATGCTTTCCACGAGTTTTTCGGTATTACTCAATTATTAAAAATACGACAAAAAAAATATCAAAAATCGATTTTCTTGGTCACTAGAATAAAAATTCAATAAAAAAGATCTCTCAATTCTTTCCTATAGGTGTATTATTTATGGTAGAAAATAAAAAGCGTAAAAACTAAAAATATTGAAACCGCATCGCCGGAAATTTGTCAGTTTTCGTTTTCCGTTTTTCGAGTATTTCCAATTTATTAATAAAACTACAGAGAAAATCAAAAACGAATAACTTACTCATGAAATAAAATTTCACAAAAAAGGTCTCTTGTCATTTATCTATTAGAGCAAAATTTATGATGAAAAACATGTCATACAAATTTAATATAATGAAATTGTTGTGCCGTAATTTGAAAAAAAATCGTATATTTCGTTTTTTAGGTTTTTTCCAAATATTATGAAAAGTAATTAAGGTATCAAAAAACATATCTCCTTGTCAGTAGCTATGTACTAAAAGAAAAAACATTGATCACATGTTATTTTTGGATTGGAGCAATATTTCTGGTAGAAAACTTAAGTTGAACACAATAAAATAAAAACAATGAAAACGGTAAAACCGCAGCCAGTACATATTTACCATTTTATCTATAATTGTATTTCGTGTTTTTCCAAATAATTTCAAAAACCTCTTAAAAAATGAAAGAATAACCTTCATAAGTTTTCTAATAGTTTTCATAAATCCTAGTAAAACCAATAAATTCCTTAATATGCTCCGAATCTAAAACTACTACATTACACTCAACCTTTTTTTTTTTTTTATCACTAATTATACATTATAAATATTTATGAAATAGCATGTATTTTTTAATAATTTAATTTAATTCAAACTTACAAATTCGTTTCGTATTATACAGAATATCGTTTTTATTTTGCATATTTTTTATATAAAAAGGCCTAATTTTGGGTTTGCGAAATATTATGAATGCATATTTATTCAATACTGACACATTATGAACAGTTTTTTTAACCTTCACTGCAGTATATTATATACCCATATTAAATTTTCTCGGATTAAGGTTCTTTATAGAATAATATAAAAATATTATTGTTTGAATACTATTACGTGTGTAAATCCATTTTTGAATTTCCCTTACTGTATTTTTGTTTTCTAATAATTAGATTTTTACAAATTTCAACTCCGTAAGCGTACATTATGTAATAAGGATATCAAACCTTTTAATGGAAATGAAGTTAAATATACGTTGTGAGCTTTTAGAATATTAGTACAATTCTTTTAATCGACGTTCTCTGACGTATGAAATAATATACCCTCTCGTTATATTTTAAAACTGAAATAATGCCAAAAAAAAAAACTATCTTTTTCAGGTCTTTTTAGAAATGCTGTGACTGAATTTGGGACTGACTTTTTTTCAACAAACCGGTTTATTTAATTTTACGAGTTTTCTGAAATGAAAGTTAGATGTGATCGTAGTTTTACTATTGAACAACATTTGAAAACAGTTAAACATATTTGAACAGTTACTGATTTTTTTTCAGTAGATTAACTGTAAAATCTACAGAGTTAACAATTTAAAAACAGTAATAATAATGATTTTAAGTAATATTAATAATACCTACATTTCGTAAATTTTCCCGTTTCTTGTCCATTTATTGAGATAACTCTTGAAAAAATCAAAAATTAACTTTCAGAAAAAGTGATATTATTGTAAGTTAGAGCAAAATTACTGGTAGAAAAGTTGCTCATATGTAAAATAAAAAAAAAATAAACGTTGTAAAATCAACACATTCCTTGCTCCGCTCGGAATCTAAAAGAATAGATTAGAATTAGAACTAGAATAGAATTTTGTTTAGGGTAACAAAATAACTAGGACCGGCCCTGGTTTAGAAGAATACACAGAACACAACCGAGAAAATAATAATACCTTTTTCTTGTGTAGTGGACAAATGCAAAATATTTTATCGATTCTAAACTTGGTATACATACGTTTTTTTCTTTCTTACGTCCTATTATATATGAAGCCTTTTCTTTATCGTTGTAAAGTTTAAAAGCCCAAGGGTGTTTGAGTATAGGATTTTATTAGTGAATATAACGTTGTATAAAACATTACGTTTGGCTTTTTAAATTTATAACGCAAACAGACCC